AAAATGACCACGCTCATTTAGTGATTGCAATATGTACGTAATAGAAACCGCACCCCGAACTTGAGCTGTTGATCCCAATTTTTTATTTGATACATTGTAATATAAACTGCGGTTTATAATAGGATTTTAACGGTAGTGCTAGTTGAGATGATTTATTATTTGTTTTCTGACGCCAGTCTCATCAGTCTTGCGTGACTTCAGTTGTGTACAGAAACTTTTAAATTAGGCCTTCTAAGCACAGGATATAATCAGCAAAAACTATCACATGCAACATTAGAGACTGAATATTGATTACCTCTAAAAAAATTCAAAACTCATTGGTTTATTTAAAGTTAATGCTTCAATAAATGACACAAGACACAAGGGTTTTGGCAAAAGTGGAAGGGGGAGCGAATTGCGGACGCAGGCGTCGCTGCGAACATTTCCATGTGCGACTCGCCTGTGAATTGCATCAACGCTGAGCGCGTGGTACCTGGTTGCAACCTTCCACCAGCAGAGACTGTACAGGCGGGCGTCATGGCTGGCGTCCCCCTGGCGGGAGCCTGCAGATAGACTCACAACCCCAGGGATGGACAGCGTGGGTACCCGTGTAAAGTCTGCTTGGTCTGTGGTGGAAACCCCCAAATTTAAAGGCAGGATGATGTGTTGCGGGAGATGGGCTTTACACGAAGAGTAAAACTAACTGAAAATTTACCAAAAAAAAAAAAAACAAATTGAAAAACTTGCACAGCAACATAACGAACATACTGTAAATAAGAAAAAGAAACACGCTAAAGAAACCGATAAAATTACAAAGTCTATCGCGATAAGATAAACAAAGCATGGTTAGACCGATAAAACATTAACTAAATACACTGCAAATACACGTAGCGAAAACGAAATGAAATCTCAAAACAAATGACGAAGATACAGTTAAAAGAAGAGCAGTCAGCAATTGGACAATGACCCGGAACTGACGGATAATGCTGGGGGGTGTGCTAATGTAGGTCTGGTAGGCGTCGCTGCGCCACCTGCCCAGTGCCTTGATCAACCAGTCCGGGAGATTTGCGTCGGCAGCTGTCGTGGCTGCACCACTGCGGAAACTGAGTAGTGTAACGGTTAACATCTGGCACAGATGCGCGAGTGAGAAGGTCTCGCATGTGGTTGCTAACAGCTTGCCGCGCGAGGAAAGTACTGTTGGCGAACTAGAATGCAGGTAGGTGAGAGACGGAACTATGTAGTGCTTTGTACGCCTGGTATGCCTGCACAGCGCAGACAGATGACTGTGAGGGTGCAATGATGATG